TCATATATTATAATACTACACTGTATTAGTAGTGAACTTTCAGGCTGTTCTGTCCCGCATAAACTCCATTAATAGACTGTTCATGTCTACATTGTACTATTTATGCACACTTTATTTACTTTGATTGATGTAAACAAGTTATTACTAGAAAAGCAGATGGATGTTTGTAGTTTCCAAACAACTAAAACATGCCAACTTAATTTTTAACCCACTAAATACAAGTCGCCTGATGCTGATCTTGTCACTTTGGATTGAGCGATGTTGTTTTTTTTGTTTTTGTTCTTTATTTTAACTTTTTTTTAAATCAAATGTACGGGGTTCTGGAAATGTTTGTGTCTGCCTTGTTGGTAGCAGTTTTTCTTCTCCCCAACCACAATGCAGTCAAATCCAGGACCCAAGGCCGGCCCACAGAACCCCAGGAGGATGACACAGAGGGAAACGAGCCCCATGTTCCACACCAGTGCAACATAAGCCCACTGATTGTGAGAACCAGAGGCGGGGGCTTACAGAGTGTATGGGGGACAGGGCATAGAGATGTTGGAGAGACCAAGAGAGAGTGTGTTTATTTAAGTTTTTCATCTCCTGACTCAGACAGAGAGCAGACTAGAGAGGATAATGAGAAACAGATCTTGGGTGAAGAGGAAGAGGAGGGAGGGGAGAAGAGACGACATAGATGTGGTCGAGGGGGAGCAACAAAAAAAAAAAAAAAAATGAAGAAGAAGAGAAAAGGGGAGGAGAGGGGGAGAGTGACAGCCAAAAAAGGGGGGGTTGTGGCGTTGATCGCCACAGGAAATAGGCCCTCTTATGTTCACTAACTGACAGTTAACACTGCAGCCCTGGTGGCCCTGCAGCTGGTCCACAAGCTGAGGTATCAGAGACTTTAGCTGCTCCTCATTAGAATAACAATCATACTGTTTTTAGCCCAAATATGTGAAACATGAACCCTGATGCTCAGTTTAGTCTGAAGTGAAATAAAGACAGATATAATGATGGGAAGCAACACGGGAAAAGTTTAATGGGTAGAGTGTATTAAGAGGATGTGAAGTAAATATTATAGAAAGAAACCCCAGAAAAGGGGGGAGAGGAGTGAGTGAGGGGGAGGGAGGGGGTTACCCATGACTGACACATACAGAGTCCTATGGGGAATGAGTAACAGAGCAGCCGGGGCTGGGAAACCCACCCAAAGGCAATTAAGGGTAAAGGACGACAGAAATATTTGATGAACTTTTTTCTTCTCTCTCGCTGCCTCTGACGGGACGCAGGAAGGAGTCGTGGGATCTGGATGGCTCTGGAATTAAGGAACCCTGTTTACTGGCGGTATTGTTTGGGAAAACATTGAACATTTTTCCTGAAGGATGATTTAATGCTGACCGCAAAGCATCCGGTTGGATAAACTTACAAATAAAGCGACACGAAGCTGAAACTTTTTTCTTTATTTAGGTGGAAAGTTGAATCAAAACCCTGAAGAAGGAAAATATATATATATACATATATATATTAACAAATATATATATATATGTTTATTTTTAATATTTTTGTTTATTTATTTTTTGCGCAATGATGCGCTGATTAGAAAGGGCTGAAAGTTCTTGAAACACTTCTTGGAAAGTTTTTTTCTTCCTTTTTTTGTGGCGCACTTTAAGATAGAGAAGGGATCGTTGGGTTTTGATCCGATGGGGGCCGCGCCGGGCTCGGGCTGGGAGGAGGGCGAGTTCGAGTTCAAGTTGGTGTTTGAGGAGGACCAGCCTCAGCGGCAGATCCAGGGGCCCACCCCGGCGCGCACTGCCGAGCCAGAGAGCTCCGTCTCCGGGGAAGAGGAAAATGATGGCGCCCTGTTGCGGCTGGACTCCAACAATCTGGGTTAGAGTCATCATTTAAGTTCAGGCTGCAGTTAAAGAAGCTGCAGGCCTGCTTTCTTAATGCATGGGAACGTTTATGCGTGTTTGTATAGTTGCATGTACTCTAATGAGGGCCTCCAGCCATATGCATCTGCTGTTTGTGTTTGGGACTGAATGCGTGCCTGTTTCCCTGGGTGAATTCTCACCGAGGCTTTGTTTTCCAGTATGGTATGCATCTGCGTGCATATCTCGCTGTATTCCTATTTGTTGCGCGCATTTGCGCGCGTGTTTGGACATGTGTGCGTGCGGCCCCAGACTCAATGTGTTTCTAATCAGCTGTGCGTGTGAGCAAAGTTAACAGCTGCCATCTGGGAAGGAACCTCAACCTCTGTGTGTGCTGAGCTGAGCGCACCTCCTTTCTCTCGCTCAGCCTCCATCTCCCTCTTATTTTTAACCGCAAAACTCTCAGAAACACGCTCAGTATGAAATCGTTTGTTTAACATCCGCAAAGGTAATACGTTTAACTATCAAATCCTGGGGATGAAGTGGAAGACAAAGTAAGAGATCCACCAAACACAGAGATCAGATCTGATTAATAACATACTCCCTTTTTTAAATTAAGTGTAATCAAACCTTTACTTATAAATAGGAGAAAAAAGAGGCATAAATGGGCCCATTATTCTGTTGAACTCATTTTTTTATTATAAACATGAGCTTTTTGGTACAGACATATGCTTTTATATTAAAACCTTTGGATAGTTTTACCTATTTTAAGGGTTGAGATGCACCAATCCATTGGCAAATGATTGGAATCCTCCCACACAACTTTAAACTATTCTTCCTCTCAGATTTTCCTGCTGAAATTTCTGTCTTATTGAATTTATCAAAACAAAGAAATGCAAATATGTTTTGTTTTAAATGCATGATCTAGGAGCATCAGCATCGATTAACCAGTAATATAATGGTGTATTTTGTCCTCTGAAGATGACATTTCCGACTTCAAAATTAGATATTTCAGCTGAAACATTACCAACAAAAGTTGGTAATTTGAAGCAGAAATTTGAAGCAACAGGACTAGACTAGACTTATACAGTCAAGATGG